TATGGAATTGGTTTCCATTTCTGCAGTCTGCACAAAACTGAAAATCACCTGTATGTAAAAAAAACCTGCAGTTTTATTGCATAAACAAGCATTAGACTCGTGGAATCAATTGCAGTAAACCACATGGAAAGTTACTCAGCTTTCATTATACTGAGATACTAAATAACAAGAAACTAGTGCCAAATACAGCAAACAAATATTCACTATCCAAAAAGTCATGCCCATCAGACTGCACCAATATGGATATTGCTAAGTCTTAGATTCTGTAACAGTGACATGTATATCACAAGAACTGTATGTGACTTGGAAATTTCATTTGCCAAGTGGAGTTACATTTTGCATATAATTTGGACATTAATCTCTCACGGCAAAGGGAATATCCCAGTTCTCATTGAGTTTGATACAGAAACTTGGCACCTAACATTAAAGAACTCCATTTGATTTAGCCTACCATGCCATTGGATGGTTCAAAGAGAATCATTATGGGCCTGGACATTTACACCAGCAATATTTATTTTACAATTCAGAGGTAGAACTTGTATCTTGTCCTACGTGATCCATATCTTCATATTTATTTGAGGAAATGTTGACTATACCATCTACAATCAACTTAATATGTATGGAGAACATTTATGGATATACATTGCTATATCCATATTTTCTGATTTATTAGACGTGCTGTGATCTCAGAGCAATAAATTTTACCAAGACAGAATCCCCTCGTATGTCCTTGATAATCTGAAGGAACCAAAACCTAAAGTTAGTAAAAAAAAAAAAAAACTATTTAGTAAGCACAAACTATAAAGCATAAGTTATACTGTTGTTTAAAACAAGAAATGAGAATTGACTTGTGTTAGTGAGTATTATAATTCAATGAGTGGAGGGCATCGAAGCCTTGGGCAGCTTGAGCAATCTAGGCTTCAAGGGAACATAAACTATCATGAAAAAAAATTCACAAAAAAGCCTTATCGGGCACCTAGACTGTTATCGAACGGGCTTCGCAAGGATATGCCCTTCACTTTCGACTGCCATGATTACTTACTAGCATGACATGGATTGCAAAATTAACCAAAGTAATAGCAGAAAAAAAATTGACAAGAGATGATCACTTAATGAGTCAACTAGTACTATATAGAGTTGTGCCATGTATATTAGAAAGTATACTATCAATTTTTCAAAAAGAGCTTGGTTTCGCAAACTGGGGTGTGGGTTATAAGCATTGCATGAAATGGACTTTAAAAGAAATTATAACTTTATTTTTTATGAAACGTGATTAAACCATTTCTGCTGGGAGCAATCATCACAAACGAAAAAAAGTGGCAAAACAACTCCGCTATCAAAGATTTTAGATGTAGGAAATCTTATGCATGCTCAAATTAAGCTTGAGTAGTACCATCTATATGCTCAAAGTAAGGGTAAAAACATAGATAGAATGTTGAACAGTGACTTTCCTGTTCTTTTTCTGCTATTTTTTATATGCTTAAGGTAGGTTTCTAGGTGGCAGATTATGCAGCAACCACAAAAATCAAAATTAACTAATAAATAAAGAAAATCGACTTATAAATAGAAAAATTAGCAAGATCATCGAACAAGCATCTTTTTTGACAAAAAGATGGCAACAGACAAGTCAAACAATAAATAGAAAAGGCAAACAATGGCTTTTAATTAATTTCTTTGGTAGGTAATTCGCCAAATTATATCTTAAGGATGAGTTAAGAAATATTCATACTTTCACTTACATTGAGTAATTTTATATACATTTTTAGTCTGCATTTCTCAGAAATATCAGATTTTTATAATTTTTAAACTTTAATGAGCTATATATAAGAGAGAATAAATACAAGTAAGACTTTTAAATTTCTAACTGCTCTGACTTTTTTTCCCAGTGAATTTCCTAAAATATCTCTCTTTGTCTAAACTCACATTCTTAAAATATCTTTGCTTAAAACTCTATTTGATTAGGTATGTAAATTCATTGATAAAATTGCCAAAAAAAAAAAAAAGGCAAAATATCTATATGGAGAATAAAAAGGTACAAACTAAAAAAGAAAATTTAATTAGAAAACTCTGAAACGGAATTTCTATGCTAATCTAAAATAGGAATTCATATTATAATATATAGCTTACCAAAACACGAATACTCCAACAAATTGAATTAGAAAAGGTATAATAGAAAATTAAACAGCACTGAAAATATTATTGAATGAAAAAAGAAATAAATCTAAAAATATTATTTTTATTAAATACTTACAAATCATTTTTGTCTAATTTCTCCATAAGAGCATTGTACAACGCACATCACATTTGCTAGTACTATGTGTGGGTGTATGTGTGTATGTCTGGAAATACTTGTAGAGATGTCTTAGGCCCTGTCTTGATACTTGTGTGAAATTTTAGATGCTTGCATTGGTGTCTAGGTAACATAGGCTGCAACACTTTTCATTGCTATTATGATTTTCTTAAATTTGTCTATTAAACCCTCCCTTATGGTGGGGGAGTGCCTGAGATATCCAATTGGAACCCTTTTTGCCAATTGGAGTAGAAAATGTAAATAAAGTCTCCATAACCAACTCATGTAAAATTAATAAAGACAACCAAAAATGAGTATTACATGTATTTACAACTACATTACCATCTAAATTGGACTTATAGAGGTTAATCTTCATGCTCATGGACAAAATGGACTTACAATCTAAGTGAAAGTGAGAGAGAAACCAGTGGGAGCAATCCCCTCTTAGATAACGAAACATATCCTGCAAGCATAAATTAGAAATAAATCACATGGGGAAACAGAAGTGGTTATACAACCTTCACAAAAAAAAGAAGTTTATATATATATATATATATATATATAAATAAAGATGAAGATAACAATGTAACTCATCAAAGGCCACACAACAAAGCCAAAAGAACAAGAGCGAAGAACTAACTCTTTCGCTACCTCCCTCCTTCCCTCACCCTCTCGCTATTAGGGTCCTAAAACGTCATGAATCAAAAAAAAAAGGTGATACTGGAATTAAGTTTTACTTATCACCTAATATTTTAGTAAGACAAATATATGCAATATGGATGTTCTTTATTTCTTTATTACCAGTGACAATTTGTGAAGGGTCACCAACTAGACCGAGAGCCTGAGAGCATGATTGCTAATATATGCCAATGGAATAAGCCTCTACTAATCCAGAAAACCAGATTGTATAGGTAATGGAGAGCCTCATGCCCAAACAAGTTATTACAAAGTGGCCTATGAGGTCATATGGCTATACAATGCAGGAGAGGTAGGTGCAAAGCTCATGCGAAAAAGACTGAAATTGCTCAGCATGTGCTATCTAAGTTGGAAAGTATTTGCATTAAGCTTCATAAAATTGTAGAAGTATTACACTGTGGCATGAAAAAGAGGAGAGAGAGAGAGAAAGAGAATTTACCAAACAAGCAGCATGAATAAAATCCCGAAACTCAAAGCTCAAAAAGTCGGAGGCGTGCTCCTAGGCGGCCCTATTAGAAGGGGAGGGGATACTATTAGAAAAGTGTGAATATGGAAGAGTGCTATTAGAACTTTCACTAACGAAAAGGGCCAATTTTCATTCAAATACTTTATGGTATATTATATCATCATCTCAATGTGTAAAGCAAGAGAGATAAAAGAAGAGAACATATATTGTTTTTTTACTATTTCTCTCTCTAGGTCCCTATTGTTTTTGCAACAACAGTCTTGTTTGAGCAAGGGAGAAAGAAGAGAGAGTTTCTTCAATCTTAGTGCCAGTTAATTTTATTTTATTTTCCTCGATTGTTTCACTCTCTTGAACCCTACTTCTTCTTCATCTTGGAAAAAGGAGGGAGAGAGAGAGAGAGGGTTTCTTCAACATTAAGGGTAGTTAAGGTTTTTCTTCTCGAGACAGTTTCTCACTCTTGAACCTTACTGCCCATAGATGTTGGGATCAGTAACGGGAATGGTACTGGGATTGGGATCGGGATCGGGATCGGGATCGGGATCGGGATCGGGAGCGTGGGATCGTGGAATGTTAGAAGATCCTTATGGTTGGAAACGCTATCCGTACAATGCATATGTTAGGGATCCAGATACCCAAATGTTTGTGTCGAATTCCAACCTTTTGGGGATCTTGATCTCGACTTTTGGGGATCTTGCTATCAACGTTAAAGTTCATGATAATTTAGGATTACGTACACTCTTTAAAGTAGGGATCTCATTATTTATAGCAAGAAAGCAATGCAACTATATTAAAAATATGGTCGTACTACAATCTAGGTATAAACAAAAAAAAACATCAGTTTGGTTGTTGCCTTGGTCTTTAAAGTTGGGACCTCCATCCCTAACAACAGGGGAATTGAGATCCCTAGCAGAGAGATAGAGATCCCGAAATTTTAACATCAAGATCCCTGAGAGATCCTTTCTGAGAGCGACAGAATCGAGATCCTAGAAGGGATTGCCTACCAAAGTAGGGGGTCCCGGTAACTATGCTGCCTTCTTCTTCTTCTTCTTCTTCTTATCTTCTTCTTCTTCTTCTTCAAACCGCCTTCCTCCCCTTCCTCTTTTTCTTCTTCTTCTTCAAGGGCCATGTGGTCTGCTTCTTACTTTCTCTACTCATTTTCAGGCCTTCTTTTACTCATTTTCAGGCCTTCTTTTAGACCTTAGGTTTTCTGTTTACTTTCTTGTAGGGGGCTCGTATGATTTTTTTTCAGGCCTTAGCATGTGCTTTATTTTTTAAAAGGGAGCTTACGTCTTCCACTATTTTTCTAAAAGGGGGTGGTGGGTGCCTTTGTCTACTTAGTCACCTGCCTTGAGCCCACCTATGCACATGCAGTCTAGGTCTCCTGCCAAGGCCCCTTCGATTCAGCAGCTTGCCTAGACCGCATGGGTGACCTTGCCTAGGCTAGGCGACCGAAATTTTCAAACGTTGTAAATACTTAATCTAGTTAAGGAAAAAAATCCTACCAGTCACCTCTTGATTGATAGAAATAATTAGAAAAGCTTTGGCACCTAGATCAAACAGCTAAATCACAGCATCACCTAAAGTTCATGGACATTATAGGTAAGCTAATCCTTAGACAAGAATTAAGTGGAGAACGAGAGAAACATGACCTGCCGAAGGTCGGTATGACAGATATCAAGTTCTGTAAATTTTGGGGATAACAAAGAGAACTAGTTTGGAAATGATTGCCTAATGACTTCTCATAATCACTTAATCCTCAGTTTCCATTCAATATAACTTCTAAGAAAATAATGTTCCCAGTGAATAAATTTATTGCCCATTCATTGCACATTAAATGCATTTCTTAATTATTTTGTTCATATGAGAACCAGCTAGTGCCTCAAATTCGACAGGCTTTCAAATTACATTCATCAATTTCAAAGCAAAAAAATGCAGTAAGCATTAAGTATAAATCAGTGCAATGGTTTACATGAACATTAAGAGGCAAAATAAGACACCAAAAGGCATTCCAGGTATGAAAGACATTGGAGGAGTGTCTCTGACATGGGTAGCAAGGACTGGATTTCTTATCCTAGAGCTTTTACTGCCCAAATATGTTTCGTCCTTGGCCGTGATCCAGATGCCTGAGAACCTTGGAACCCAGCAGCAGTGCTGCTAGGAGGAATCTTGGGAAAACTCTGTTAGCAATTTATTCCCAGGAATAACATGCCTTCCATTCTCATTGATAGCAATAGATGAATAGTCTGTATGTACCTCACTTGGTTGCATATTTTGCTTCTACAAATCATTAAAAGCAAGCAAAATCTTTCTTCTAGGACCCAAACTCCAAGAGCATGAATACCCAAATTAATTAGATCATGTAACATTCATGTGGATGAATCATGATTCACAACAACTACAATCATCAAATATGATAATTGATTATATAGAGGAATACAAAACAACTTCATAAGAACAATACGTTGTATCTAAAACGGACTGATATTTAATCAGCCAATATGAATGTAGATGTTCTTATATGCACATAAACATTTGGGATGGCATCTATTCAGTTTGTCAAGGCACACCACTTCCTTTAGTCATTGTAGAGTATCCCAATCAATCTGTTGCTTAACGAAAGCCTCTGCATATCTAGACATATTCAAGGTTCGAAGCTAGTCTAGCACAGGAGTGACATTAGCAACACCATGAAGATGATCCACCATCATTTCATCTTTAAGATGGTTCGCCTAAAGAAGGCACCAGTATCAATAAAAGAATCACAAGAAATCAAACACATTCTTATTTTTATCCAAATAGTTTAAACATCAAAAAAATGGGAAACATACCAACATAACATGTTCTTTGAAAGCAAAAGAAATAAGCAACTATTCAACAAACTCTAAAGAACCAAATAGGATAGGATAACTCATCATTTTTATTTTGTGTGGATGAAGAAACTTAGATTAGGATCCGAAAAATGTACCTTGGGAGTACGAAAAACAGAGGGAGAAGAATAAAACAAATGGCACAGGCTCCTAATATACATGTGTATGTGTATGTATCCTATGCAAAGTTGCATAGGATCACTAGATGTTGCATGGAATCATAACGTGTTTTCAGAAAATTGAGCTTCAATGCCCAAGATCATGTTGACATTTGTAAACACTTTGATATTAATTCATTGAATTAGGCAGAACTTAAAATGGTTCTGCCAAAGTAGTTCTTTAGTCACCCGGATAACCTTAGCACCTAGGATTGAATGAAAGCCTTGTCCCAGCATAGTAGTCTGAAGCAACTCAAATAGACTTACCATGAGCACTTCAAGTCTAGAAACAGATAGGGTCTCAGAAATATGTTTCGATTTGACTACATATGATTATCACCTAAAAGCAACATGGAAGAAGAATATTAAAAAGGAGATGTGCGCAAAAACTTGATAATGAACCCGAGAACCCTCAGGATCTGGATAAGTAGAATGAAGCACAAACACAAAAACACACCTCGGCAAAGTAATTAATATGCAGGAGGCCACTCATAAAACCAAATTTAATAGTGGCACTAAAAGAGCATCAAGTGAACCCAACACCTCAAGTTTGACCCGACCACCTCCTAAAATACTAAAATACTCATGCAAAACCATTGTTACCAGGACAATCAAGTCTTTAGTCCCTATAAATGATGTGAAAGAAAATCCTCAATAAAGTATTTGGAATCCAGCAAGCTCTAGTATTCGGCATCTTTTAAGTTTAAATAAGACGATCATATGAGGTTTGAAGCATATTGACGGATACTACAAATTTTAGTTCACAACCCAGTAAGAGTTAAATTCAGTCAGTAAAGATTTTGGCATGAAAACCATCTTCAAAGATGTCAATAATAGAGAGGCATAAACTTAAGCTTTGAAAATGATGTTCAAAAGACAAAAACCACTTTTAGTCCCTTTTTAAGGTTTTAAGAGTTAAAAGAACTTAGGCCAAGCACCTATGCTAAAAAAATTCTCAATGGTTTCAAGAAGATTCAGTAGAAAACATCCTTAAGCTTTTCAAATATGCTCACATGTATCTGGATTTTTAAAACTTTAAATCATGCCTATGCAGATACTTAAAATCATGCACTCTTAAAGATACACACAAAATTCAGTTCCGCTCTTTGGAAGCTAGGTATCTATAGGACAGCACAAAAGGGCAAGTAAAAGTACACGTTGCCCTAGGTCAAATCCTGCTCTAAGTCGTTAGTAAAGTGGGCTTCACTGCAATATTCTATTTCTCATTACGAATGAGATTTAAGTGTTGACAATATGGTAAATCTTCTTTTCCAAAGGCATAAGCTGGCTTCATGTTTTTTTTTTTTCTTTGTTCTTGGACTTCGAATGCTTCTTTTATAGAAATTGGCTAGTACAAACCATCCCATAAACCCTTGGAAATCATGTTTTGTTAACAAACTTATTGAGGTACCCGGTTGATTGCATTATAACTCCATACAATTGTGTTGTCCTGCTCATAACACTAATTGTGTAGTGTCAACAAAACAAAGCACAAAAAAACAAAGTCTGAATTTGTGCATAGCAATATCATTCGATGAAAATTATACCTTGTTGACAAACTTATCAAGGTACCAAGTTGATTGCATTGTAATTCCATACAATTGCATTCTCATGATTGGAACGGTAATTGTGCAGTGTGAACAAACCAAAGCACAAAAAATTACTTGTGCAGTGTGAAGATGAAGTCCAATGCACCATTTCAATGAAGATGAAGCCGAATCATGAACCATTAACAATAAATACCTCTATCTCAGTTTATGTTTCTATTGTTATTTCCAGTTACATTGTGTAGAGGCCCATTTTTCAAAGGCTAATGTTTTATACCTCCATAATCAATGAAGTTCAGTAAATTATAATTAAAACGCAATAGCTCATTGACATGCTCATCAAGTCTTTGTCAAGGTCATGAAAATATTTCACGTTAGGCATCATTTCAAGCTGTTTACTCTCCAGCCTGAGAGGAAGCATATGTTCACGTTTGTTGGGTATTCCAACCTTCTACTAAATGAAAAAATGGAAAAAATCTCTTGTAGTCTCCCCGTAAAAGGCACCAGTGAGTCCTTCTCATACCCAATTACAGATTATTTTTCTACTGGTGAAAAGTTTTTTGGATATACTTCCTGAACCATTCATGAAAAAATAGTGGCACTTAAAAGTATCATTGTTCATGAAAGAAACAAGTGTAAACTCCAAATTAACAAGGATTCTTATTTACATAAAGACCTGCTAGCAAATCAAAAGATTTTGATTCATTTTTTTTTTGTTTTTGATATATCAGTAGAGAATACAGGCCCCTACCCATTGTTTTTCAGAAATAGTTAGTGGTTGCGTAAGTAAGAATGGAAACCTAGGCCGATAGCTGAGGTTGACGCTCAGTGGTGCTGTCACAACGACCTCAACCCCATTCCTTCTGCACAAAGTAGAAAAACAACACTATATACAAAGGAACTTCCAAGAGAAATAAAACCCCAAAAAAGGAATGAATATAAAGTTTCAGGCCAAGACATTACCTTGAGAATCTCCATTACTACGAACTAACCTCTCTTCATCACTCGAGTATGAGATATCCATTCCACATAAAGGACCCTCCACCACTTGGGCAAACTGATGAAACCAACTCCATCTGTTTCAATTACCTCACCCATTTTCTGCAACGCCTTTTCTCTTTCTAAAAACTCGATATTTCTTCACGTATGGCTAGGACGCCACAGGTATCGTCTGACGTCCATATCAACGTTGGATACCTTAGTTACTAATATTGGTATCAAAGAGATCATTTTTTTTTTTTAACTTTGATTTTTTTTTTATGGTTTGATTGTTACGATTTATGCTTAATTTTGTGTATAAATCGTGCTCCAATAAATCACCGGTTTTTACTTTATCTTGGTTCACAGTATTAATTAAAAAATAAGTATCATATGCTCTTTTTGTATCAATTCCAAATCACATCTATGTTAGTTTTTTTTTGTTTGATTTAATGTTTGAATTGTGAGGGTGTTTTTGCTCGGGTTACAGTTCAATTATTTACTTTATCTGATAAATTATGATGCGGATATATGTTACAGTGATATGGTATTGACTGCCTAGTTTTAGTTGATCACTTTGATTTACTCGCAACTTTCACAAAGATAGTGGTTTGCTGCTTACTGTGCTCTTTATGTCGCACCCCCAGCCCCCTCTCTCTCTCTCTGAGTAATCTCAACTTGCCACTAGATCTACTCCCCATCTCCCTCTGCCAGGCGTTGCTCTCTCCTCTTGGATAGGCTACGCAAAGGGCTTATTTTGGATGCTAGTTCTATAAAAAAAAATTTCTTCGATTTCAATAGTAATCAGGTTCTCCATTCATGGGAGCCATAAGGTAGAGAGAAACAATAGTACAGAAAAAGTAATACCAAAAAAGTTACAGTACCATTGCTCTCTCTCCCTTTTTTATCTAAATCCTTCACAAATCCATGAAACCTTCCCACGCTCCTCTCACCGGAAAATTAGTTCTTGATCTTGATGTTGTTATGGGCTCGACTTGTTGAGGCGAGTTTGATGATATTGTCCATTCAAAGTGTTTACGTCAAAATCTTGGGCTAGATATCTCAACTCGTGAGACAACCCTTTGTTCTTACTTTTACCTATTTTGGGAGGAACGTTTTACCCAAGATAGAGTATAGGAAGAGATTTACGAGAGAGACAATTAGTAGTTTCTTCGAGGGAAACTAAACCTCCTGAAGTGCTGGGCACAATATATTGATAATTATCCCCTTTCTCCCCATTACAATGAGATATTTATAGCCCCCTACTAACCCTCTACCACCTCCTTGATTATTCTACCCACAATCCCTATATAATAGGAATGTGACCCATTACAATAACTACCCACATGTATCATGGCGATCCATTAGAAACTGTCTACCACAACTCCTAACATTAAGCAACAGACTCTTAAATTCAAGTGAACAATACCTAAACAACAGCTGCTCGTGCTAAGCACAAGACTTTATTGAAAAATAAATGAAGCCTAGGAACATAACATTCCCTCCCTCTAAAAATCCCCCTTGTCCTCAAGGGTATTTTTAGGAAACCTTAACTTAAGCGTCTTCAGATTCTTCCACGTGGCTTCAGAAGGTGCGAGACCCTTCCAGTGCACCAGGACTTCCTCTTGATGCTTCCGAATGCGATGGTCAAGAATGGCTTACGGCTAAGGTACCATGTCGTTTCCTCCTTCCTGAACAATTGGCAAATCTTTTTGAACCACCATTGTTGTTCCAACCTTTGCTTTTAGGCAAGACACATAAAACACAGGATGCCTTTTTGAACCATTGGGCAACAAGAGTTTGTAGGCCACCTGTCCTATCTTTTGGATCACTTCAAGCGGTCCATAGTATTGTGGTGAGAGCTTGAGATTTCTCTGAAGGGCGACCGAAACTTAGCGATATGGCTGAAGGCGTAGATACACTAAATCCCCCACATTGAAGTTCTTCTTAGTTCGATGAATATTGTAGGCTTTCTTCATTCGGTTCTATGACAGTTGCAACTGTTCACGTAGTTGCTTGAGAACTTGGTCCCGATCTTAGAGTTCCTGATCAACTGACTCCACTCGAGTTGTACCAAGAATAACGTGGGTGGAGCACGCCCATAGACCACCTCGTAGGGAGTCTTCTTTGTGGCGGTGTGTGGACTAGTATTGTAGCAGTACTCAGCCCACGCAATCCAACGGGCCCACTCCTTGGGTTTGTCACTTGAAAATCACTTGAGGTATATTTCAATTGTGCGATTCACCACTTCCATCTAACCATCGGTTTGGGGGTGATAGGCTGATGAGTAGTTGAAAGCCGTGCCCTGCAAGTTAAAGAGTTCTTTCCAAGAAACACTTGTAAACACTAGATCTCTATCACAAACAATGGACTTAGGCATTCCATATAATTTAAAAATATGATTAAAAAATATCTGAGCCACCGATGTTGCTGTATAGGGATGGGAGATTGGAATGAAATGGGTGGCTTTGGATAGGCGGTCCACAACCACGAAAATAGTAGTTTTACCATGTGAGTTCGGAAGGCCATCAATGAAGTCCATAGACAAATCAGTCCATACCTATTGGGGAATTGGGAGTGGTTGGAGGAGCCCCGTCGGTGACGTGTTTTCCCATTTCTGACGCTGGCATGTATCACATTGTCGAATATAATCACGGATTTCCCTTCTCATTCCGCTCCAGTACAACACGGACTTTATTCGATGGAAAGTTTTGTGGAACCCCTCGTGTGTGTTGGAATGGAACTCTTCCATAATGGTAGGAATTAAAGGAGATCCGACCAATAAGAAAATTCTACTTTTAAAGAATAAAACTCCTTCTTTGTAGCTCCATGTACCCAACGCCTCTCCTTGTTCCACTCGTGTCATTAATTCCTGCATTTTGGGATTTTCCTTCACCTCTTTTTTAATTGGCTCGAGCCAATGTGGGACCGGCGCAGATAATGCAAAGTTTTCACCCCTATTCTTCACTGGTGTTGTTAGTAAAAAAACATGACAACTGGTGGAGGATGTGCGTCGACTATAGGGCTCTAAATCAACAAACAGTGAAGGATAAATTTCCCATACCCAATATTGACGAACTTTTGGATGAATTGCATGGGGCCTCTCTTTTCACAAAGCTTGATCTTCAATCAGGGTACCACCAAATTCGCATGCAACCAAAAGATGTTGAGAAGACCGCTTTTCGCACCCACCATGGCCATTACGAATTTCTGGTAATGCCTTTCGAGTTAATGAATGCCCATTCTACTTTTCAATCTTTGATGAACAATGTTTCAAAAATTACCTATGAAAATTCATGTTGGTGTTTTTTGACGACATTTTCATTTATAGCAAGAATTAGGAAGACCATTTGAAGGATATTGGTCTTGCACTATCTGTTTTACGGGCTAACCAGTTATTTGTAGAAAAAGAAACGTGTGCTTTTGGGCAACAGGAAGTGAAGTATTTGGGGCACCTCATCAGTCAAGATGGTGTGGCTGTGGATCCAGAAAAAATTGTAGCCATGACCAACTGGCCCAAGCCCACAACGTTAAAAGCTCTCTGTGGATTTCTGGGATTAACAGGATATTACCGAAAATTCATTCAAAATTTCGGTAAAATTGCTGCCCCATAAACCAATATGTTGAAAAAAGATAGTTTTAAGTGGGAACGCAATCCGAGGTATCGCTCGAGCAGTTGAGAACGACAATGACGCTAGCCCCAGTGCTCGCCCTGCCTGATTTTTCAAAAAAAATTATCGTTGAATGTGACGCTTCCGGAGCTGGGATCGGAGGGGTGTAGATGCAAGAGAAGCGACCCATAGCGTTCTATAGCCAGGCTTTACATGGTAGAAATGTTGGCTTTGGTTCTTGCAGTACAGAAGTGGCAGTAATATTTGAGCAACAGTTCATCGTAAGGACCGATCACCAAAGCCTAAAATACCTATGGGAACAAAGAATCACCACACTAGCGTAGCAAAGGTGGTTGATGAAGCTCATGGGCTTTGATTTCGTCATTGAGTACAAAAAGGGAAGGAAAACATAGCGAATTGTTATGGGCTCGACTTGCTGAGTGAGTTTGACGTTGTTGTTCGTTCAAAGTGTTTACGTCAAAATCCTGGGCTAGATATCTCAACTCGTGAGACACCCCTTTGTTCTTACTTTTACCTATGTTGGGAGGAACGTTTGCCCAAGATATAGTATAATAAGAGATTTATGAGAGAGACAATTAGCAATTTCTTCGAGGGAAACTAAACCTCATGAAGTGCTGGGCACAAGATATTGATAATTATCCCCTTTCTCTCCATTACAATGAGATATTTATAGCCCCCTACTAACCCTCTACCACCTCCCTGATTATTCTACCCGCAATCCCTATATAATAGGAATGTGACCCATTACAACAACTACCCACATGTATCATGGAGACCCATTAGAAACTGTCGACCACAACTCCTAACATTAAGCAACATACTGCTAAATTCAAGTGAACAATACCTAAACAACAGCTGCTCGTACTAAGCATAAGACTTTATTAAAAAAAATAAACAAAGATTAGGAACGTAACAGATGTTCTCTTGAAATCCGGCTAACCGGCAAGCCATCTCGTTATCTGCACTTGCCAAGGATTCGGACTCTTGATCTGGCTCTTGGTCGGTGGAGATTGATTGCCAACCGCTTTCTATCACCAAGAAACCAGGTGGGCAACCGCCATATGTCACTTTTAGAGTTTACCCAAAACGCTGTCTCTCTCTTCAATACATGAAACCCACAAACCCTTGGGCTCTCTTT